TAATAATAATAATAATAATAAAAATAATGGCACCCGGTTTATGGAAGAACTTCGCATGGACTAGCCCAGAGCTTCCAAGGTCAAGGTAAACCCAAAGCCACTCGAAACAGTAACGCGGGTTGTGCACTGCACCACAGCCACCAGCAGAGGGAGCAAGATGTGTGTGTAGGGGGGGGCGGCGAAATTCAGCCGAACTCCCAGAAGGGGGCGCTTTTTCTAATTCGCACAGAAGCGGAGCGTATGCTAATGGTGGCCTGGCGTGAGCAAGAGCGGCCTGAGCCAGCAAGAGATGCCGCGTTTATGTGCGCAGATTCTTTCTGTGTATAAGCGAAGAAGAAAGGCAATTAGCACGTCAAACCTGTGATTTCACAGATAGAACTGCTTAGGGCCGAGGCTAATTAGACCGAGAGGTGAGTGATGTTACGTCGGTTTATAGGCGGCCGATACTAGGTAAATGATGAGACACAGGTAGACCTCACAGGTGCGAGACGCACGCTGACGCTCTGTGGGCGCCGGAAGTTGAGGAAAAGCTAGACCCGGTCGGCAAAGCGACTCGGAGGGCGCAGAGGAGCGGTCTTTTCCTTCCCATCAGCTGTCCGGGCCTGGTCTTGGAACCCCCTTCTCGCCTCTGACCGCTCTCCCTCCCTTGACCATCTCAACCAGCCAGCGTCACGGCTTCGTTCGCTCCTTCTCTGCTGAAGACCCCACCCTTGTCCTGGGCCCCATCCTCTCCCCACCTCGGGGTGCAGGCTCCGAATCCGAGTGCCGCATCCACTCACTATCTCGCTGGCCTCTCGAACTCAGCAGGCGCCCCGGCCAAGCTGCTGACCTCCGGCCAAGCTGCGCCTGGCTGTGCCTGAGGCCTGGAACCCCTCCTCAAGGTCCCCTGCTTCCTCTCGAAGTGTCAGCTCAAACCTGCCCTCCCCCACCCCGCCTAGCACCCCGATCTCTCTACTTCAATTTCCCACAGCATTTATCACAGTTAACACACTACATAATTTTCTCGTGTCTCATCCTGATATAACCTGTCGTCCGTCTGCCCCTTGCATCAGCTCCATGAGGGCAGGACCCTTTAGTCTGTTTTGTCCCCTGACACGGTCCACGGAGGCCTGGCCTGGCATATGGCAGTACTCAATAAACATCCGCAGGATGAATGAATGAATGAATGAATGAATGGGGCCTGGTACGGGAAAGAAAGAACCAAGGTCTGTGGTGGGGCTTTCGACCTGCTGCCTCTGGATGCACATAAAGCCACCTGTGCCAGGTTGCACAGCTGGGGTGGACCAGAGCCAGGCTTCAAACCCAGGTCTGCCCAGGAGCAAAGCCTGGGCTCTCTGTCCAGACCGATGGAACTGTGGTCACGCGTGGAAGTAGAAAAGAACATTTCCAGGCCTCCCCCTTCCCCCTGTAAACTGTCGCCGTCCCCCAGCCTCCCCTCTCCCACGCACCCGCGCTTCGGTGACATACCGATCGATTTCTGCCGGAGCATGAGCCCAGGTCCTGGAGGCAGGTAAGAAGGACGCTCGTAACTTGGCTGTGAGCGGTGGTGGGGATCGAAGCTCGACTTTGGGGCGGCGGCCAGGGGACGAGAGAGAAACGACAACAGAGAAAGATGAGTCAGGGCGCGAAGAGTCAGCCCCCCTTCCTTCTCCAAGCCTCTGCAGGAAGGCAGAGGGCAGCGGAGGAGGCGGACGGGAATTTGGGGCGGGGGTGGTTCTGAGTCCAGGCAGCGGGGAGCAAGTGAGCAAAGGCGGGCTTCGGGGCCACCCTGCTTGTCCTACTTCCCATCCTGATCGCTCATCGGGGTGCTCTTCCCCATTCCCAATGTCACTGCCAAGTCCGAGTCACCGCCATCGCTCGCCTGGCCTCTTCCAGGCTCCTCCCCTTGTCCCCCTGTGACCAGCCTTGTTTCCCCACCCCTTTCTGGTCCGTTTTCCACACGAGGGTCAGAGGGATCTTCTCAAAGACTCGAAAACCCATATCCGAAAAGATCTTTGCGCACCGATGTTCACAGCAGCATTATTCGCAATGGCCAGGACATGGAAGCAACCGAAGTGTCCTACGATAGGTGACTGGCTAAAGAAGCTGTGGTCCATATATGCAATGGAGTATCACTCGGCCATAAGAAGAGATGAAATACTGCCTTTTGCGACAACATGGATGGACCTCAAGATAATCATGCTGAGCAAAGTCAGTCAGACTGAAAAAAGTTGAAAATCACATGATATCACTTATATGTGGAATATAAATCTAAAAGCAATGAACGAACAGGACAAATAGAGACTCATAGACTATAGAATAGTGGTTACCAGAGGGTAGGGGATGGAGGAGGAGGGGGGAGGTAGACGGGGGGAAGGGGGGGCAAATATAGGGGGGTAAGGGTAGGGTGAAGTGGGTAAAGGGGATCAAATATATGGTAGCTGAAGGAAACTGGACTTTGGGTGGTAAACACAATAGAATACACAGATGTCAAATGATAATGCACACCTGAAAATTACATAATTGTATTAACCAATGTCACCTCAGTAAACTTAAATCGTAAAAGTTCAAAAAAGAAAAAGAAAGAAAAAGAAATTCAGGCCCAGCTGTTTCCCTGTTTAAAATCCTACAGTCACATCCCATACCAGTTAAGAGGGGCTTCGAATTCCCGAGTCTGGACTTCAAGCCCCCTGCTGGTAACCACACAGATTCCCGTGGCGGGGATCTGTGCCCATCCTCAGGCACCGAGAGTGTCACCTGCCCCTTGCTCTGGAGAACCACTCTCCCCCAAAGGAGCCGACACGGCCGAGCGGCTTCGCGCGCCCTCACTTCTGCGAGCTGCCCGCAGCCAACGACCACACTGACATGGAGGTCCAAGGCGAGATCAACTCCCTCGTGTAATGCACACCCCAGAGCTCCCCGAGGGACCGGCCTGAGTGGGCTCCGGCGGGGGCCAGGTGTGCTGTCCCGCTCCACAGCCCATCCTGCGTCCTGCATCTGCATTCCGCTCCGGGTCCCCCTAGGAAACCATCGGTGTAAGAATCCCTCTGCCAATCTCTGACCACAGGAGACGCGCTCGGACGCCCTGTGCGGTCCAGTCGTGCCGGCATCTCCTTGCTCACTGTGGTCCCACCTTGGCCCCCCCTCTCCTTGGCCCTCTGATACCCCCAGGTCCATCTCTGCTTTAGAATACCCGCAAGCCCTGGATCCTCTCTCTGCGACGGGTCCCTCCTCATCGTCACAGGGCCTTTTCATCTTTAAGCTCTCCATTCCACTGTCCCCTGCCAGTCACTGTCTACTGCGTGTCCCTATCCCATTTTCTCCCTGGTACTTGTCTCCATCTGAAATGATTTTGTTTACTTGCGTACGTTCTGCCTCCCGCTTGGAATACCAGCTCCCTGAAGGCACTAAATATTATCCCAGGCAGGCAGGCGGGGAGAGCGAAGGAGGTAGAATGGAATTCGGGCACAGTGTCTAGGGCCCACGATACTTTCAGGAGAAAATGTTTTAATTTCTTTTATAATCGGAAGGTAAAAAAAAAAAAAAGAATATAATCCATTCTGGATGATATTCATATTTGCGCCGACACAATCACAAAATAGAGATTTCTAAACATCTTTTAGGTGGGAGGGACTCATGAAGCAAAATAGCCAAAGGCCCACAGAAGTCACACGCAGCCTGCCTGAAGGTCATAACTTCTTTAGTCTTGTTTCCTGCTGGGTCCCCAGTCCCTACGGAGGGCCTGATGCTCTACAAGGTCGTGTCAAATAAACGAGTGACTGAGAGAGCCAACATCAGCCACTATCATCTGGAGGTTTCTCTTATATACAGCAGAACCCAATTCTGCAAAATCCTTCCCCCCTCCCAAAAATATATAAATTTTCTAAGGGAAGTGACCTTGTTTGGCTCACTCCTACACCCCCAGGGCCTAGCAGCAGCTCTAGCACAGAGTAGGTGCTCAATAAATATCTCTAGAATGAAGGACTGCTACGAAGTGATACAAGACACCCCAATGAGATGGGTGGGGGGGGAGCTTCCTGAAGGCAAAACCCCCTGTCCTGAACATTCCCACGAAGCAGCACCAGGTCGGCCCCGAAAGGGTGTCAGGAAGGGTCTCCCTTTGACTGATCTCCCCTCCCCCCCAATTCTGCTCTTCTCAGCAGGATTCTTGGCCTGTCGACTCTTCTCGACTTTACTGAACGTTTTTCTCAGACATCCTTCTTCAGCCCTTTCTCCCTAACCCTCAGCCAAGCATCCTGCTGGGTTTCCCAGCCTGCCCTGCGGCTCGTAATGATCCGCGTGGTATCGGGGAAGCCAAACCCCGCGAAAGACAAGACAGGTTTTGTGGGGGCGCAGACACAGAGAAGCGGGAAGCAGAGGAAGCCATTTGTGTGCGAAGCCCTTTGCCGACCGCGCCGTATGTTAAGTCCTCAGCGAACCCTCAGACTCGAGCATTGAGGTTGGCTACGCTCGTTCTGATGGCAGGGACAGGGGCTGTGGCTCAGAGGACAAAGGTCCTGTCCTAGGCCGGCCGGCGAGTAGGGAGGAGGGTACCGAGCCCTTGGAGAAAACAACTTGGAGTGGTTAGAAAACCCTCCGCTTAAATGAAAGGAAGGAGAAAGGTTATGAAGAGCAAAGGAAAAGGGTGTGGCCAGTCAGAAAGGACACGGGGACCGTGGAGGGGACACCGAGTAGAGAGTTCTGCCTGCGCAGGGAGAGAACTTGGAGCGGGGAAGGCGCATGGAGACGGCGGGCGGGGGTCAGGGTGATGTGGGAGGGCTCAGAGATGCAGGAGAGGGGTCGGAGGGACAGCAGGGGGTCGGAGGGACAGGAGGGGGTCGGAGTGGCAGGCTGGGGTCACGGAGAGAGAGAGAAAGAGGAGTACGAGTGACGGAGAAGAGCGCGCTAGCTGAAGAGGGTGCAGAGTGAAGGCAGAGGCATCACGTTTGCAAACCGGCAGAAGACACTTTGAATTGGAAGTGTCTAATCAAACGGTGGGCTAGCTTGACATTATGAGGGGTTTCAGAGTGGCAGAGACGTCAGCCTGGCCGAGGAGCCTAGCAGCGCCTGAGGAGGTGTGGAGCTGCCTGCCCGAGGGGCCGACTGACTCCAGGTGGGACACACGACCTCCATCCACAAACCAGGAGCATCTTCTCCCGCGCGGAGGGGGCAGCCAATCGGAGCGCGCCTGCTGCGCGTGACGTCACCAGCTGCGCGTGACGTCACCAGCTGCGGGGCAGACTCCTCCCCAGAGAGTCCGCCATAGGCCCAGCCACCTCGTGGGTTGGCCGTGGGTCCAGTGCCTCGGCGGCAGAGTGTGTGCCTGGTGCTGAGCACAGGCCGAATGAAGGCTGACGCTGGGTTGCGAACTTCGCGCCAGAGAGAAGGCCCCAGAAAGGGGTCAGATGGAGGGACAGAGATAGACAAAGACAGACGGAAGAAAGAGAGACATGGGAGGGACAGAGACGGAGCTGCAGGTCCAGAGGGGGCAGAGAAAAAGGCCGAGAGACAGCGATGGGAACGGAGAGGGACCGGGGAGGCCCCAAAATGCAGGTGGCTGGGGCAGTCCCAGAGGGGAGAGGCCGAGGCGGAGGACGCAATGGAGAGGGTGCGACAAAAATAATCGGAGGCAGAAACTGAGTCCGGAGAAAGGCTGAGACCTGTGGCCAGACAGAGGCTGCAGAGGGAGGGGGAGGGGCGCCCTCAGGGGTCCCTGAGTCCGCAGCAGAGTCAGGTGCCCGGAAAGCCAAAGGCACGCACAGGGGAGGACCGACGGACGCAGAGGACAGATGGAGGGGTGGCAGGAGCCTGGGAGGAGACAGGGTCCAAGAGGCGCCCTGACCTGCAGTGTATCAGCGGGGATTCTGCGCCCCCACCGCTGGCCTGGACGGGTCCCCCCACTCCGCCTGGGTGTAACGCAGAGGCGTATGTGTCAGGGAGGGCTGAAATCCCCCGAGCCTTAAGCTTTTGAGCCGTGGTGTGTCCTGCAATGCTTTGCTCTCCCTCACTGCCGAGCAGGTCTGACCAGGCCTTGGGGCCACACTGCGCCCCACATCGCCGGCTCGCCCCCTCTGGTCTCGGCGCAGAGGGGTTCGAGCAGGAGAATAAGGAGGGGACAGAAGCGGAAAGCGACGAGCGATGGAGACAGAGGAGGTCAGGACCACACGCTAAGCGGCCGTCCACAGAAATGTCCAGCAGGGGCCCCCGTGTGGCCTCCGCTGACTCGAGGTGGGAAAGATCAGGATGACTAGTGGGAAGGGAGAGGGAGCCCTGACATGAGAGGGTGGGCTTGGGGGAGGCCCAGGGACAGGCCTCAGGGGCAAGAGAGGAACAGGGGAGGGAGGCCCCACGGAGAAAATGACCGTTGCATCCAGGACCGGGAGGGACGAGACCCACCAGGGAAGACCACAGCTGGGGGCGGTGGGCGGGCAGCTGATGTCATTACTGGCCCATCTGGGGGTGTCTCTGGTGCTCAGACGATGAATTCTGTGAGAGCCAGGATCTTGTCTACACTGTAGCACAGGGAGAGGCTGGCACCCCGGTTGCCTGGCACTTTGTGGGTGCTGCAGACATTCACTGAATAAACGCCCTAATGTGTTACTGGAGACGCCACATCGAGCCTGACACTCCGCTGTGGGGTCTCTGGCGTGCGTGAGTCACAGCGGGGTCCCCAGTTTGTCGTTCTATGGCCTAGGGATGCTCTGCATCTGTCAGGAGCCTGCTAGGAGCTGATCTCATTCAATCCTCATAAGAACCAGAAGGACTGACTTTCGTCCCGTTTTACAGAACGGGAAACTGAGGTGCAGAGGAAGTCGGTGTTTGAAGGCGGGTCCGCGTGCTAGACAGCGGCCCATGCACTGTGATTCTCACTGGGACCTCGGGGGTGAGGGAGTGGGCAGGCAGGTGGGTACAGAAGGTGGCCATAGCAGTCCCGGGGACCTCAAATGCCTTGAGAAACCAAGGACATGTGTGAAGTGAGGACCTACCACACGGAGGGGACTCCGCCGAGCCCTCAGAAGTGACCGAGGACCCACTGCCTCTAAATCGGAAAGAAATTCTAGGAATCTGGGTATCAAAGCGTGGACAGACTTCAGGGGGCCTGCACGCTGGGACGGCAGCAAAGTTACAACTTTATTTTCGTGATCCTCCAACTAAAATGCAACGTTTCCTCCATTAGAAACGCAGGCCACAAACCACGCTAATGTTAGCCAGACCTGTGACGGTGTCCCCAACAGGAATCATAGATCTTTCCACGTCCCACCAGAGCGGGCGCGGTGTTCTCAAAAGTGTTTATGTCTCTGAAATCCGAGGAGCTAAGATCCACCACTGGATCTTGCTGGCTAACGTGTCGACGAAAAGGCTGAGACCTGTGCCCAGCCTTTTCGCAAAGTTG